CCAGGTACATCTTATCAGACCACGCATCAGTAAACTAGCTGTACGAGGAGACTTCGAGGTATATCTGCCAGCGTCCGCAGACTTCAGAGTCCTCTTCTATCTTACTATGTTGTCTTCCTTATTTGCTTTAGACTCTGATGTATAGAGACATAGAGAATAAATTCTTAGAAGCTTGTGACTTATTTCTACCGAGTTTTGGGAGTTGAAATTATTTGAATTGTAGTTTATTTATTTCAGATATTTATTATTATTCCGCATTGATAAGCTTACCTAGTATTAGAGACTAGATGCCATCACGACATGCTACTTAGGGAATTTGGATCGTGACACCGTAGTATGTAATTTTTGCCTTGAAAAATGCGCTCTTATGATATTCTTTTATTTCCACTATGACTAGCTATTAAGTACATAATTTCTCTATCTCGAAATGATTATCATATTTTACCTTCAAGATCAAATAAAAAAATTCAATAAATATTTTATGGTATTCATCATTTTCATTTTGGAAAATTAGAAATGGTAGTAATACAAGCTTAACTTTTCAATGATGACTTAATTTAAGTTTAAATTAACTCAGAAAATTAGTACTCCTTACCAAACATTAAATTGAAGAGAAGAGGAGTATACATTTGTATAAACGGAGATTTTTTCTACAGTCGAGCAATGTGTATAATACAAAGTATTTTGTAATACGTACTGGGTATAAGATAAAGTAGTGTAATGATAAAAATATGAGCTGAGATGATTAAGACGTGAAGGTTCATGCACTTGAAACTTGTGTGGAAAACATCTCTTTCAAAAGTCAATTATTTTGGCTATAATAATGTTGAAACCTAAGGATTTAACATTGTTTGTTCCTTGATGTTGAAATCGTTAAACCTACGTTGTTTTCAGGTCGCTGTTCCTCCTGATTCCAATCATCAGGTGGAATTTATAAAACTGTGGGCTTAAGTACTACTGTACTACTGTTTTTGTTAAAAAGAATCTGTTAAATGCTTCATTCTTTCCAAGAATTAATCCAAAGCTCACTTTTCTTAATTATTATAATTTCTAATAATAAACTAAAACACCTAATTCCTTGTGGGTCTTCTCTTCTTTTACCCCAGTAATTCAACAGAGAAAACAAGAATGGAAAATTACATTAAATTATTTCAATCTTAATTCTCGTTAGCAGAACAAGAAAATTGATTAATAGTTAAATTGCAGTGAATAAAGCAAAAGGTCGAAACACTAGCTGTGGGATTTTTATAATTGATCTGTCGAGTTCAACATCCTAATAAAACCTCAATAGTCAATACAATAAGTCCCCTATTTGGTTTCTATAATTTCTTAAAGTATCAGGGAATGATCTTCTGACTAATTAAATAGGAGTAATAAGATTATGAATAGTCTTTTAACGTGATTACCACGGGTCAAAAAGTTTGACACGTAGTCTTCCAAAAAGAAATGTTCGACTCGTTCTTAATTAATTTTTGTCAAGAACACCTTGGACCAGTTCAAATGCATATCTTTTGGTTAGTAAGTGGTCAAATTATCTACTCAATTTTCTAATTCGCTTTGTATAATATGATTTTCTCTAATTCAACCAAGAAAATAGTGAGAGGTCCGCAATCGAGCTTTTTGTAATGTAATGCAGAATACAGATTGCAGGGTGTTGCAAATTCAGTGGCAAGCAGTGCAATTGCTTAAATTTTAGTAGACAAACAACATGATTAGGGCAGGGAAAATGAAGATTCATATAAATCTTTGATTTTTATTTTCTTTTTACATTTATTGTGAAAGTTATGTACTGCCACAATTCACGGTATGAAGCTTTAATAGAAGTTGGTTTTAGGGGGGTCCTTAATAATTGTATAGGGCCATTCAACGAACATATGTTCTTTTAGAACACTCCATATTACTACAACTTTTAGTCATCCATCTATTGCTTGGCAAGAGCCAATAGGGGTTTTATTTATTTATTTATTTATCTATCTACCAGAGATACTTAACCTCTATACCTTAATAACGTAATTTTTTTTTTGACAATACTTGATCCCCTAAAAAGACAAGTATTTTTATACTATCAAATCATATAATAAGATAATCATAAGCAACAGCCCTTGCAATGTTCCATATATACAATATTAATGAATGAATAAAGGGAATGTTACAGAAATAGTCGGCTAGATTCAACGTTTACTTTTTCTAGTCGGTATACATATATTATACATTAATTATACGTAGTTATACATATATTATACATGTATTATATATTCACCGGCTATTTATAATTTAAGAAATTAGGTGGGCGGCTATATGGGTTAATTCTTCATGAATTAAAGTCCTGGAACCTGTTCAGTGGCAGCCCATTTTCAAGTAATACTAATGGGCTGCAGCATTGCAATAGGAATTCTGTTGGGCTTCATGGGCTAACACAAATTGATCCGCTTTCTGTGGATCTGTGATCTAATTCCGTTAAACGCAAATGTTTGAAATAAAACAAAACTTCTTAATCCTTAACAAAAAGATCAAACGAAATCAACTTATTAGCCAAATAACTGTGGATGTTAAAATCCACCAGTTAATTATAAAGGCACCGCCACTATTTGGATTGAGATTAAAGTTATAATAAACGAAATAAATGCAATAAATAAAGGACAGTATGTGGCAAAATTTATCTAAACATAATTTCGAGGAAATGGAAAAAAAGGAATTAACCGTCTAGTATTTAAAATGTATGGCATGAAGTTACTTTCTTGCAAGTGTTGCATGCAGTATATTGCCGGTCTGCTAGCACTGATTTCGCTATAATTAAAGACATCGCCAAAACCATAAATTAGACGCGTAATTAAAGCCGTCTAATTGATTCAAAAGCAAATTAACCATCAAAGCAGTAGTGTGTTGAAACTGGTGTAACGTGAGGTTAGCTAGGGATGGCAATGGGGCGGTGCGGGTATGAGAATCTGTGGGGCGGGGCGGGTTATAGAGCTCGCGGGTGCAGGG